CTATACTAAAGAAACAGCATAATGAAATAAGAGAAAGTGTGGCAGGCCAAAATTCTAAAAGGAATATAATTGCAGGCCTGACAACAGGTTCCACTCAGAACAGACCTCGCCATGGTCAACCAAAGTTGAGGGCCCGTGTTCAGTGTCATATCCAGAGGTTGGCTTTGGGAAATAGAGTGCTGCCAGCATTGCTGCAGAGGTTGAAAAGGGGGGGGGGGCAGTGCTCAGACCATACCCTGCATGCTGCATCAAATTGGTCTGCAGGGCTGTCATCCCAGAAGGAAGCCTCTTCTAAAGATGATGCATAAGAAAGCCCGCAAACGGTTTGTTGCAGACAAGCAGCAAGACTTCTGTGATATACTGTATGTCACGTTTAGATGCTTGCTTTTCTCAAGTTTGCTGAGGTTCTTACTTGGCCTATAGAAATAATACAGGTAGTCTTTACTTAAAGATGTAATTTGGATGTTTAATTATCTGGAGCTAGTAGAATTATGCATCGTGTAAGCTTTTGTAGGAACATATTTTGTAGAGATACAGAAGTGAAGAAGGTAAGATTAAAACGTAAATTAAAATGTAATTTTGCTTTACAGCTAAGAGCTTTATCACATATCTTGCAAACACCAATTGAAGTAATTCAGATGGATTCCCCTCCTATTATTGTTGGTGAAGAATACAGTAGGAAACCACTAATACTTGTGTGAGTAAATATGTTAAATGTTGAACTTCAAAACAATTTTTGTTTGGTTGCTTTATACTTGCAATGCAATTAAGAAATGAACTACAAATTATAAAACCACAGAGCTCTAATGTGGCACCTTTTTCATAGTTTAGAAACACGTTCAGAAGTTTAATATTAGCCTACAAACTTGTAGGATGCGATCACCACCTTCATTACATTTTTGATAATATTATAAAGTAACAGAAATCAGTAGGTTGCTACCTGCTTTCTTAAAAAAAATAAAAAACCACCCCAAGAATAAAAGTGTCTACTTTCTTATAGAAAATGAGCTCAGTTTAAGAAAAGAGAATATTGATTTAAGCAATGTCTTTCTGTTTTGTAGTAATAACTTTCAGTGGCGAAAGCTGAATTTTCTCATTCTATTTATGAACTTACTCTTCAGGTGAAGTTTTTTATTTATTTAAAATACTTGTTTCACCACCCATATCTTAGGATACAACTTTGGGCAGCCATGCAATCTTTTAATTAAATAATGTGGTAACTTATATCAAGTGTTCATGTGTTGTTTTAGTTTGGTGGAAGTCCTTGTATTTTTCATGTATGTTTTTCTTTTAGGTACATGAGACATGCATATGGATTAGGAGAACATTATAATTCTGTAAAAACTCTTTTGGAGAACACAGCAGAAAATGAAAGCTAATACACAGATCATCAGACGACCAGAATGATGGCTACAATTTTACTAAGTGTCTCTATATAGGTCTTAAAATGAATTCTCAATTCTTTAATAAGGCATACAGGGTTATACAAACACACACATATATGGTATGTGTGTCTGTATATATGAGATCTGTTATCAGCACTACTCAGTTTAAATCATGTTTTTTTTTAAAAAAATCTGATGTGTTTCTAATGTATCTCATAATAAATTGTGGGTTATATTTCCTTCGTTTGCTTTATTCTTTTATTTTAATAGAAAAGCCAGTGTACACAATACATATATGCACAGACATACAATATTGCATTGTGGTTAAGTTGTTATGGACACCAATCATAAAATAATTATAAAAGCCACTGACATATGGATCATCAGAAATTGCTGAGGTCTTATAATAATTTTCAAGGTGATTTGTTCTGAGTATTGAATCCATTTACTGAAACACTCATATTGTTTTTATTTTGGATTGTGGCAGAAGAGTACCTGATTCTGAAATGCAAAAACCTCCCTCTCAGATTATTAAAGTATAGGAAGTAGTCTTACCATATTGATTCCTCTAGCTCAGTTTACAGTAATAGTAATCAGTATAAAGAGATACTTTGCCAACCAACCTTGGAATTGCCAGGAACCTTTTGCAGGCAAAGCACATGTTTTCCAATAAATTAGAATGTTTCCTTTTCAAAGGAGAACTTTAATTTTCAAGGCTGTTGAACTGATCTTTCTTAGTTAACAGGATAAACCTTTCCTTATGGAACATGTAAGTAGAATATCTGCAGAAGACTCAGTGTGATAGTATCTATTTAGATAGGTATTAAAAAGCTCTGGTATAATGAATACTGTCCAGTTTAAAATGAAATAGTGCCTCCACCTAGGTATTTTACTTATCACATTATTTTGAAACAGGAAGAGTGGATTATAATATTGTTCTAAGATACATATCTCCACATAGATCACACAATGACAATATATTTCAAGAAATGAAACAGTTTCCCTTGTAAAGCATCATTTATAAATATACTATGATCCTGCAGGCCATTTTATACTTTAGATAATAATGATAGTATATAAAACTTCAATTAAATTATTTTCATCCCTTTCATTGAGATGTGCTGCTTTATATATCATTTAAAACATTCTTATAATTAAAATGGTTCATAATAAGTCTGACTTCCTTAATGAATACTTTTTTTGATCACTCATATATTGTATCTAATACATGCATTTAATATCCAAGGAATAGATAGATTTTTATTTGTGCTCTACTGGGAGTTTATACACTGCTGATTTAAAAAGTTCAAGTGGTCTTCAGAACTGATCAATATTTAGAAACAGGAATTTTTTTGCTACGAGTATTATTTGTTAAATGTTGTATATCCTTTCCTCTTGACCTCTGAATTGTCCATTTGGGAATGGCCCCCTTCAATCTATTTTGTCAGGGTACAATATACGGCGTTCACTGTGTAAATGCATTTAATGCTGCAGTGAAGTATTTTACAAAGGCCCAAAGTTCATTAATTAACTTTAGTATTATAAAGTACAAATCACTAGAGGCAAGGGAGGATTAGATTTTTATTTCACCTTTATATTTGGTTAAATCAAGATGGGGAACATAACCTAATACCTCTGCACTTCCTATTTTCCCACAACAGCCATCTGATGAGGTGGGTCAGATTGAAGGAGTGTGACTGGGCCAAAGTCACCCTTCTAGTTTTCATGCCTGGGTGGCCTAGAATTTACATTTTCCAAGCCAGCATTTTAAACACGACACTAAATTGATATGCTGAAATGACGCTGATATTTATAAAGCAATGTCTCCTTTAAGAACAGTTCTTCATTCAAAGAAATGAGTGGTATAATGAAATTTGGAGTATGACAACAAATGATAAATTAACAACAGAAATTAAATTTTAAAAAGGGATGATCAAAGCAAATAATTATAATGAAATATGAGGGGATTTTATAAAATCAATGTTGGTGGAAAGCAAAGGGAATAAATCTATTGAGGAATATAAGTTGTTTTGGAGGGGATAAGGACACAATTGAATATATTGTAAATCTTTTTGTTATAGATGAAGAAATGTAAGGGGGGGGAGGTCTAGTTGGGTGCACTGTAATTTTTTCCCTTTCCCTTTTTTCCTTTTTTTTAGTTACTATGTTTGTATTGTTTGTATTTTTAAAAAAATAAATAAAACAAAAGAACAACTCTTCCTAGATCTAACCAGCAAAACTCCACTTGACTTTCTAAATTAGCCAAGGTCACACTTGAATTTATTTGCACCTGGATGCTGATCTAAGTTAACTGTTATTTTGCACAGCTATTGTTTACTTTAGAAAATAATCTGATAAGTTTTAACATCATTATTTATCGTATTTCTCTCTCCGGATTCTGATCAGACTTCCAGCGTTATCAAGCGACGGCAATTACGTTCATACACCCCATGTTTCTATTCCCAATAGGTGTGTTCCCCACTCCCCCACACTTCGTAGCGCGCATTTTTTTTTTAAAAAAATACTTTATTCGTCATAAATGAACACTGATGAATGACTGTGACAGATGACCGCCGAGCTGTATCAATCGCCACAATTCTGTCCCCGCCCATAGAACCAGCTGAGGCTTCGGCGTTGCCACGACAACGGAAAGAAAGAACTCCACAGCGACGCGATCGGCCCGGAGGACAGTCCGCAGATGGCGGAAGGGAAGCTGCTTCGCGTGCTGCGGGGCGGCTCCGGGACTCGCTCGCTCTCCCTGGCACGTCGGGGGCTGCAGCACCCGCCCCGGGGCTTGGCCAGCTTGAGCAACCTGGAGCGTCTGAGCCTGCGAGACAACCAACTGTTCAGTCTCTCTCACGAAATGGAGGCTCTGAGCCGGGTGAGGGGAGGCGGAGGGCGAGATCCTGGCTTGGAACCGCATTTGTGAAGCAGGGTTATCATTCGCTTACCCCGATTGTAAGCTTTGTTACCCAGAATGCTGGCTTAAAGAGGTCTGTGACTGGTCCAGCCAGGCTCTTCTTGCATTGCTATGGAATGATCTGCAGCAATCACCATTCTTCCATACTAAAGAACCTCTGATATTTACAAAGAAAGAACAAGGCGAAAACATTCACTCCATTCTTAATTTTTTTTAAAAAAAGGATCTATATTATTACACTGAAGCTATCCTTAAACTGATGCTGTAACAATTTTTTTAATAATCTTGGTAATCTCAGCTGTAAACAAGATACTGCTGAATTTTGAATGAATATTTTTTCAATCCAGAATAATTTTGCAAGCCAAGCTGTTGGAAAATCTTTATTGAAAAAAAAAATAGTATAGTTTGTAATACCCCCCCCCCCCAAAAAAAAAAAAGAAAATTTGTTTCATGGTATAGTGGGTTCTTAAAGTGGGAGAATGTGACTCTGGTTAAGGCAGGAATAGTTATCCTCTGACATGGAATGAAGAAGCATTTTAAAATGAATTTTTCTTCTTTTGAAAAAAATAGATTTGCATTTTAGGTCTTTTGCTCAACATCTTTGAAACAATTGAGAACTACATAGTATTTTAACAATTTTGCTGCATGGCATTTTTTTGGGGGGGGTGATAAAATGTATGTTATTTTGTGAACGAATAAATATGCTGCAATTGTAATAGTATAAACCCATGGCAGAATCAACATTTGATCATTGTTAAAGTTTCAATTTAAACCTCTCCTCTAAATAAAGGCTACTTACTGGGCTTGCAAAAATCTAAATATCTGGAACTGGAGAAGCTTCTTGAATGGGCAGCAAAATATTTTCAAAGAACTAAGAAAGTTCAGTTGCCATTTGGAAAAAATACTTTGGGGACAACAATGACCTGGATGAGTGAAAGTCTCTACAGATATTCAGCAAAGTCATATTATTGCATCTTAAGATAGATACCTTCATTCATTGCATTAATATGACTTTATTGCTATTATGGCTTGTAATTCATAGTTTATAGATCACTTTGTTGTGTTATCCAGCTAATTTATTAATGAACTTGGACTTGGGGCAACATGTCAACCCAGTATTACTTGATATAAAATTTCATTGTACCAAACTTAATGCCTAACTATACTTAGCCTTTAGCCATAAAAACCAGCTGGATAACTTTGGACTAGTCATTCTTGTTCAGCCTAACCAGTGGTGGGTTGCGTACCGCAGCCAGCTAGAGCACTGGATACCATTTCGGTACAGTGCTCCGGAGGGCCCACCCGCCCGAGCTCCTTACTGGTGTTTAAAGGCTTCTGCGCTTCCACGCAGGCGCATGACATATACAGCGCCTGCGCGACGCTCTGGAGCAGCTGGAGCATCGCAGAGCGTACTGGTTGGAACGGGATTTGAAACCCACCACTGAGCCTAACCCACCTCACAGTGTTCTTGTTGTGGGAAAAATAGTATTTATTTTATTAATTTTTAGTTACTTATTTGGTTTGTCAAGAATGTATGAGAAAGGAATATAAGTATGAATATAACATAAACATATATGTATAAGCAGGTATACGTATATACATAAGAAATGAGCATAAATAGATGGGAACAGCAAGTCAGGGACAATAGGCACACTGGTGCGCTTATGCAGACCTCTTAAGAATGGGGTGAGGTCCACAGTAGATAGTTTAAGGTTAAAGTTTTTGGGGTTTGAGTCTGGTAGTGAATTCCAGGCATTGATCACTCAGTCATATTTCCTGCAACAGAGTTTGGAGAGTTTCACTTTGAGTTTGTATCTATTGTATTATTGCGGTTGAAGCTAAAGTAGTCTTTGACAGGTAGGACGTTGTAGCAGACAATTTTGTGTACTATGCTTAGGTCAGTTCGTAGATGGCATAGTCTAGGTTGTCCAGGTCCAAAAATTTTGCCATAGGGTATTCTATTGCAAGCAGAGGAGTGGAGTACTCTTCTCGTGAAATACCTCTGGACTCGCTCAATTGTATTAATGTCTGTTATACAATGTGGATTCCAGGCAGACGAGCTGTAATCGAGAATTGGTCTGGCAAAGGTTTAAATACTGCAAAGGTTTTGTATAGGAGGAAAATGTTTGTCACTTTTGAGTTATTTGTAAAAATAATAAAGATGGGATATAAATAAAAACATAAATACTGTATTCATCCGTACTTTGAGCTCCTGAATGAAAGTTTTTATTGAAAGCTTTCATTTCTTTAATAAAATCATAAGGACCATTCCAAGGAATTTGCATGCCATTCCATTCTATACAAAATCTTTTTCTGATAATTCCATGCCATTTGGGTATCCTGCTATAATAATGTAGGATTTTACTTGTAGACCATTTCTCAATTTCAATTTAACTGACAATAATGCCCAGTTTTGTTTTAAGAGATAGAATTTCTGTTAGTATACTTGAATCACGGGATAGTTTCAGCTCTTAACATGATAGTTCAAAATTAGGTAGTACTAAATGTTCATGAGTGTCTTTTTTCAACCTTAGAGGAGAACTGATTAACATGATTTAATCAAATATCTGATTGTAGTTGAAGGTACTAAATTTGGGAAATAATAATTTTGAGGAAGTTCCAGAGCAATTGAAATATCTCATATCTCTGCAAAAGCTTTATTTGTTTGGAAACAAGATCACCAAACTGTCACCTTTAATATTTGGTAAGAGCATATCATGTTGTGTTCAAAATCAGATACTTTACTACCGTATTTACTATACAGCAGATATATAGCCACATATGTGCTATGCTATTTACTCAGCAGCAAATTATGCTATATGATAAAATCGCTACCCTCATCCCACTGTACTGAAATCACTTTTAATTTACATGTCCATTCAAGTGTATTATAATAACTTCTGTTGTATAAGCGTATGAAGGAAATGAAGAGTTTTAAAGGAAAGATATTTTATGGTCAATGTTTTAACTGATATAATCTCAGAAAAAAAATCTGTCATGAGAAAAGAGGAATGTGTTTTCTAAAATATCTACTTTGTGGGATTTTAAAGAATCTTTTATGAGAAAGAAAAAGAAAGAAAACAAAGTCACCATCCCAAAAATCTACTCCAAATCCACTTCCGGAGGGAATTGCAAAGTTCTGCAGACGATACAGCGAATAATGTTGGGGTGACAGACGAAGATTCATGTCTATGCTCTTTGAAAAGGATTCTGTTCCTTTTTTTAAACGAAAATGTTTATTATGGTTTTATTAACAGTTGTTACTTATAAGCTGCTTTATCTGTCTTCAATCACTGGAGACTCGGTCCGCTAAGCATTCTTTGTTGCCAGTAGTTAAACTGAAACTGGTCCTAACAAAGCTAATGCAGAGATGCAGAAACAGAGGTTAGGTGTGATCCTTAAAAACTCCAAGTACAGCCCTCAGAATTCTGTGAATGCTCTTACTAAACATATTTTTTTTAGTAGAAATGAAGGTTAAAAAAATAAATGCATAGCGGAATGGTACTTACATGTACTTAAATGTACTTTTGGTTATTTAAAAATAGCATTATGACCACCAGGGATATATAAATAAAATGGAACATTAGGAGAATAGGCATAATATAAGACTTCATATTTCTGCAAAAGCTTTATTTGAAGGCCATGTTTGTTTATAGATGAATTGAAGAATTTAGAACTTCTCAATCTGAACAAGAACCAACTAAATGATCTTCCGCCAGAGATTTACAGGTATATTTGATAAATATCAGGATGAGGTTTTTCCTGAATTGGCTGCAATGGATAAGTTAGTTTTAATAACCCATCACTATTTTTGGGAGCATCAGCAGCTTTTGAATGATGAAAGCAGTGTTGCAATGTGATGCTTGCTGCAAGATCCATACTTTTTGTTGCTATGCCTCTCTCTGTGTGAGACATCCTAAGGCAGGTACAACATGGACCATGTGGGATGGTCTCTTGGTCTTTATAACAGTTTGACCCTCATTGCTGCCATCTATGGATGCCATTGTGTTGAGATAGATCCATATCTTTCTCATAGTATTTCACCATAACAATGTATTTTGCAATCTTTGCTTAATTTTCAAATATAATTTAATTCAGACTGTTTGACTGCAGTAGTCACACTTGATTTGTAGGATCTTTCTTTTATTGAATAACAATACTATATATAGCTATAATCCTGCTGTAATTTCTATTAACATTTTGAAGACTGGACTGTGCGTGTGTGGTTGAGGGGAATATATGTTTATCTTACAAAAAAAGCTACTTAACAAAGAATATAAATACTTTTCCTAAGTCAATAGAAAGGACACAAACTCTTAGATTAGCATTAAAGGAGAGCCATTATTACAAGTCAGTGCAATGTAATGGCTAAAGTGTTGGATATAGAATAGGAAGATGTAGGTTTGGATCTTCTAAACTGGATCAGCTAGTCAGTCAGTCATTCTCACTTAGTTTGCCTCAAAAGGTGGTTATGGGGGAAAATAGGTGTTTTTGAATGAAATGTGAGATAAGTTTATATTTGATGTTATGTTTAACAATAGAATATAGTTAATTATTTATATCTACAGTTTCAGATCGTAGCTGAAAAAAGATATTTATATATCATTCCATTTATAAACAGTAGATCAGTGTTTCTCAACATTGCAGTTTTGTGACTCTATGCTGGCTGGGGATTTCTAGAAGTTGAAGTCAACACAACTCAAAGTTGCCAAAATTGAGAAACACTGATCCAGATCACTTTTCTCTTTGCTTAAGCACTATAAACCAAGGTGAACCCATAATATATTATAATTTCTATAAACTGTTTTATAAAATTTGCCAAATTTTAATTCCATGGGAGCTCTGTGTTGCACATCTGGACATATTCTGTAAGGTAGCCTATATGATATACTTTGGTTGAAAAAAGATTGCCCTATGATGCATTGTTTCATCCAGTTAAATGTTACAGGAACAAGAGTTGCCCATGTTGAACTGTATAGAACAGTCATAAACATAGATATAGGAAATGTTTTATGACATTTTGTACTATGTCATAAAGTGTTTTATGACCATTTTATATCATAAAATATTTTTAAAAATTTGTCAAATTTCAATTCCACAGGAGTCTTGCGTTCTAGAATTTGGATCAGTGGTGGGATTCAAATTTTTTTATTAGCGGTTCTGTGGGCGTGGCTTGGTGGGCATGGTGTGGCTTGGTGGGCATGGTGTGGCTTGGTGGGCATGGCAGGGGAAGGATACTGTAAAATCTCCATTCCCATCCCACTCCAGGGGAAGGATACTGTAAAATCTCCTTTCTTTCCCCACTCCGGGGGAAGGATACTGTAAAATTCCCATTAGCTCCCAATGAGCTGGGACTCAAAAGGCAGAGAATAGATGCGGGTGAGGCCAGTCAGAGGTGGTATTTACTACTCAAAATTTCTGCTACCGGTTCTCCAGAACTGGTCAGAACCTGCTGAATACCATCACTGTTTTGCACCCATTCTGTAAGTGAGCCCATTTGAGATACCTTGGTTCAAAAATTGTCTATGATGTAACATTTTGTCTAGTTATAGATTACAGGAACAAAACAAGTAGTATATAGATAGGTTGTTCAATAGTGATAAATATCAGTTCCCATAATATCCAGCCAATGTGGTGCAGTTGAATTATTGGAGTTGATATCTGCTGAAGGCTAGAAAGGCTGATTTGAGAATATACTATAAGTAATTTCATTAAAATTGATTTATATGCAACATTAGAGGCCATCATATATAAATAGTTGTTAAATATTTAAAAGCAAATATCCTCAAATACTTTCTTTCAATAGGCTTGAAAATCTTGAATGTGTGAGTTTAGAGAATAACAAATTGGAAAAGATTCCCAAGGAATTTTGTTACCTTCCGAATTTGCATGAACTTCACTTATCCCACAATTTCATCACCTCATTACCTGAAGACATCCAACATCTGGAAAATCTCAAGATCTTGATTTTGTCAAGAAATAAAATAGAATCGCTCCCTGATGTGAGTAGCTATGCTTGGAAAACAATGTATTATATTGTGATCATTAAAAAAGCTATGCCTTTAGGACATAAACAGTCCTAAATTGGCCAATTCACGGTCCCTCAGACTGTTGGTGGCCCGGACCAGCTGGGTGGGCAAGGCTAGGTGGTCATGTGACTGAGCGGGCATGGCCAATTTAGCAGTCCAAACAATACAGACAAATTAAACTTTAATTTGTTATGCTCCTGGGGGTGGAAAGCAGGTTAGTGAAGGGATGTGGCTGCCTTGGGGTGTGTATGAGGGACCGTGTGTGTGTGGGTGTGTTTGTGTATGTCCGTGTCCCTCCCTCCCTCTTTCTTTCTGCAGGCTGGGAAGGCCAAATTGAGTCGAAGCTTCCACACGTCCCATTTTTGGCCTCCCTGGTGTCCAGAAGGCAGGTAAGGGCCTGTGGGTAGGTGGGGCAATGTGAGTGGGGCAGCCCCGTGGTCCCGAATGGGCCAGATTAATGACTTTGGTGGGCTATATCTGGCCTGTGGGCCATAGTTTGAGGACCCCTGCTTTAGAAATTGGATAGGTAAATGAAACAGGCCTTCAGATGCTCAATCAAAAGAGCTAATGATGATGGAGCTTGGAGAGTCTTCTTCAGCAACATTTGGAGGGGTGAAGTTTTTCACTCTACTGCAAGGTGATCTTTTATGTATTCCTACAGTTAACTCATCTTAAAAGTTGCATTGATCAGTTTTGTTACTTGGTATGTAAATATGCAGCAGGTATATCCTAAAACTGGAGTCCCCAATAACAATCCATGGACCAGTACCAAGCCACAGCATGACAGAATCTGGGCCATGAAAGCAAGCAACAGCCCATTCGCGGGATGCAGGCAGCATGCAAAACCACACCCCCTTCAGTCCATGGAAAAACCTCTCTCCGTGGAACTGGTCCCTGGTGCCCAGAACCTTGGGGGCCATTGCCCTAAAGTTTAGGGAAACAATAGTCAAAGGTTTTGTTTATGCAAAGTACATATAGTCCTTGACTTATGTACACAATTAGGATCAGAATTTCCATTGTTAAGTAAAGCAGTGATTAACTGAGTGGTGACCAATTGTACAACTTTTTCACCATGTTTCTTAACCGAATCACTGCAGTTAAGTGAAACCTGTGGTTGTTTAGCATGTCCAGCTACTCCCATTGACTTTGCTTGTTGGAACCTGATTGGGAAGTTGTTGAATGGCGATCACGTGACTCTGGGATGCTGCAACAGTTGTAAATACATTCCAATTCCAAAGCACCTGATTTTTGATCACACGGCTGAGAGGATGTTGTGATCAAATCCTTTCCCCTCTGTTGAGTGAGGGCTGTTCAATTTTGACATAGATGGCCTCATAGGTGATAGAACAAGACCAGATATGACATCATCTATTTCCAGTTTATAACACAAGTCCTTTCAACAGTTCCAAGAAGGCTTCACACCCATTTGCCTTTCTCAGGTGACCCTAATAACCCCCAGGTGACCCTCCAGATGGCCTCAGCGACTCTCTAAAACAGCGGCGTCAAACTCACATTGTCACATAGTTATCACGTGATGTATCATGACTTCTCCCCCCCTTCTGCTAAACTCAGTGTCGACGTGGCCTGCGCATGATGCAACTGACCCATGGGCCACGAGTTTGACATTCCTGCCTGCTCTAAAAGAATGCAAATGACCAGCTGTCTGCAAGGAGTATAAATCGTTCATTGACCACCATCCGGTCAGAGCTGAAAAAGTTTCTTGGATGAGAAGCAAAATGTCTCCCCCCAAAAACCCCAGAAAGTCCAGCTGGCTCTTGAAAAAACACCTTTGGGGCAACTATGGCCTGGATGACTGAGAATCTCCATAGGCAAAGACTGGAACAAAATAATGATACCGTAATAGCAAAAAAACTAAATTTAATATTCTTTGGGTTACATTTAAACATGATTGAATTGTATTAATTATTCTCCATGTTATTCTTTTATTATTTAATGATGATTGTTCGTTCTTTCACATTAAAATTGAAATTTGATGCTTACTTCTGAGGATGCTCTAGAAATACATTCCAGGAATTCAGTAACTTTATGCATGTTCACTTGGGAACACTCTGCAGCACAATCAAAGTAGGTCTACTTAGATTTGCGCTGAAGGACACTTATTTTAATATTATTAATTCATATTTATCATTTTTAATTAGGGAATCTGCAAGCTGGAGAGACTTAAGATTCTTGATGTTGCAGGAAATAATATTCAGATTTTTCCCAATGCAGTAAGTATGATTGTTAATCAATCTCTTCAGTGGAAACCTCCCTAACCAATCTTCTATTGAAGTCTAATGGTTGGTCTAGAAAATACTCAAATATAATGCATTTCCAAGAGTGCCATATAAATATATCAAGGACCCTTACTTGACTTTTGATATTATAGTTTTGTAATTGTGTATATGCTGTTATCGCATTTCAGTCTCACCAGTTTGTTTTTCTACATGAATTTTACCATTTTGTTGTTGTAAAAACACACTGTTGCTTAGTAAAATTTAACAAGTTTACACAAAATCACAGATGGTAAAGAATTACAGGTAGAATCAGCCAGATCAAAGGCTTGCTAAAACAAATCATGTACAATCAGTCACATAAGTCATTGAAATAGATCTCTAAGCAGACCCCCATCATTTTAGTGTAGCTATAGAAAAGGTTCTTTTTGGTGCTTTTAGATTGCAATACAAGAGACCTTTTCAATCTGGGCAGAAAAAAAACATACTTTTTTCCAATTATTTTTGTAGCTTTGTTCTTTTATTTGTTTAAATATGATTACTTATCTATCTATCTCATTTGGAGGGCACAACTCCCCAAAAGACACTGGACAGCTTATAATTTGAAAAAATGCCAATAGCTAACAGTACTCCCAAAATTGTCAGGGGGCAAAACCAAACTATAGGCCTAAGATGTATGGCAAATAAATGATGTTAATGGGAAAAATACTAAATATATTGTTTTATATTTAAAATGTTATTTTGTTATTTAAATAGATGGGATATCTTCAGCTTGAAGAATTTTACTGTGAAGATAATCCATTGCTTCAGAAAAACCCAGTTAGTGCCATACAAGAAGAGGACATTCTCACTCTTAAGGTTCATACAGAACATGTACAGAAGTACATGTTCAAGAAACTGTTGCTTTAGCATGATGTTTTCCCTAGATTTCAAATTTATATTTTGTTATTCAAACAATTTCAAATAACTATTTTGTAACCTGGGATATATGTTGAAAGTTATTGTTAATTATATGAGTACTGTATATTAGTTTTCAAGTTAAATGGATTGAAATGATTTAGCATAGTACTAAAATCCTTAATTGTATGAGTTTGAGATGATTAAAACATCAATTAAAACACTGGTTGGGTTGAAGTGTAGTCCTAAATAATCCTTTGTTTAAAACATGGGCCAGTAAACAATCGGTTTCACGTAATACCAACCTATATAAGTAATGATTTATGAAATAAACTAGATAGGTTCACACTAAAATAAAAGAAGACATCTTATCACTCAGTAAAATGTATGAATCAGCCAATAATTCAGAAGGAAGGAGCATTTTTGATATACACTATGCATCAAATGTAAATGGTATCCTCTAAGGAGGAAGAATTCTTTTAAGGAACAGAGGAGGGAGAGCAGACGTAGTATCCAGCAGATTCTGACCAGTTCTGAAGAACTAGTAGCAGAAATTTTGAGTTCGGAGAACCGGTAAATACCACCTCTGACTGGCCCCGTCCCATCTATTCTCTGCCTCCCCAGTCCCAGCTGATCAGGAGGGAATGGGGATTTTGCAGTAACCTTCCCCTGGAGTGGGGAGGGAATGGAGATTTTACAATATCCTTCCCCTGCCATGCCCACCAAGCCATGTTCATCAAGTCACGCCACACCCACCAAGCCACACCCATAGAACCAGTAGTAAAAAAAAATTGAATCCCACCACTGAGGTAGTGGACCTTTTATCAGATTCAGCTGATAAATTGGGTGGTTATTTTTTTGAGGGGGCAGTGCTATCTTTGAGTCAGTCTCAATCCTGGCAACTGCCTGAACAGGTCTCTTGGCAAGATTTCATAAATAGTTTTCCATTGCTTTCCTCCTAGAGGGAAGAGAGAATGAGAGGCCCAAGGTTACCCAACTGGCTTTGTGCCTAAGGCAAGACTAGAATCACGGTCTTCTGTTTTCTACCCTGGTACCTTAGCCACTACACCAAATGGGCTGCTATTAAATCAAGTGTGCATGCCTTGAAAAAAAGCCTGGAAATTGTTCAGAATGCAGCAGCATGAGTGCTGAATGGTGTCTCTCAAAGGTCGCACAAAATCCATGTATCGAAACAGCTTTATTGGCTAAGGGTTGCCTTCCACCCTCAATTCAAAGTATTCCCACTGGTGCATAAAGCATTGCATGGCTTAAAGTCCAGCCAACTACAGATTTACCTACGTACAATGGTGGGATTCAAATAATTTTACAACTGGTTCTCTGCCCTAATGATTTCTTCCAACAACCAGTTTACCAAACTGCTCAGAAAGTTAACAACCGGTTCTCCTGAAGTGGTGCGGACTGGCTGGATCCCACCACTGTCTACAGAGCCATGGTGGCACAGTGGTTGAAATGCAATATTGCAAGCTAGTTCTGCTGACTGCCAGCAGTTCAGCAGTTTGAATCTCACAGATTCAAAGATGACACAGCCGTCCATCCTTTCGAGGTCAGTAAAATGAGGATCCAGATTGTTGGATTCAATATGCTGACTCTGTAAACTGCTTAGAGAGGGCTGTAAGGCACTGTGAACTAGTATATTTCTAATTGCTATTCCCACATAGTCTCCTCCATTCTTTTAGATATCAGTGGAGCACATTCTGCAATTCTCAGTACAGAGGCATTTAACACCAGTAGTTACTTTTTTCTTTCCCTTGGCAGGGACCATGCCAAAAAACAAATTGCTACTTGAAAAAAGTGCAATCTATCTCCTTATTAAGTTTGGAGGAGGTTACAAATATTTGTACTTATGCAGAGTTTTTGATGTTTTAGTATGAGGTCTCTACTGGTTTTCATTTTTTTTGTCTTCCTTCTTAATTATGTTCTAATAATGGTTTTGTTGTATTTTTTCTCAGCTGCACTGTGCAATTGAAAAGACAGTGCCATATAATTTTTCTAAATTAAAACTTCAAGTGACATATTTAAATTTCTATTACAATTCTTGTCAATAATATTTATTATTTTGTCTTTTAATTCCACAGGAAATAACAGCAAGATTTATTTTTACTCAGCTAGAAAACAAAAACCCTCTTTTATGCAGAGCACTAAAACAAAACCCACAAGCACAGAATTTACTTTCCCAGAGGCAAGAATGTGCACACTGTGGACACAGCTTTCTGAGTATGTGGCTAGAATGCGTGCGTTTCATAGATATAAAACAGGTAAGTTACTTTGATACACATAGCAATAGAAATAGCAATAGCACTTAGACTTATATACCACTACATAATGCTTTTACAGCCCTCTCTAAGCAGTTTACAGAGTCA